GCTTTCTTCCTGACTATACTGGATTGAATAGTGTCCCCTCAAATTCATGTCCTAGAACCTCAGAATGTGACCTTATATAGAAATAGGGTCTTTGCAGATATACTTAGTTAAGATGAGATTATCCTGGATTAGGGTGAATCATAAATCTAAGATGATTGCTGTCCTTACAAGAAGAGGGGAAAACACACAGACAGACACAGACAGGGGAAGAATGCCTCATGATGATGAAGTCGGAGACTGGTATGATACAGCTACAAGCCAAGAAATAGCAAGGGTTGCTGGCAACCACAAGAAGCTAGGAGAAAGGCATGCAACACAATCTCTCTAGGAGCCCCCATGAGTAATTAACCCTGACAACAATGTAATTTCAGATTTCTACCACTCAGAACTATGAGAAAATGTTATGGCAGCCCTAGGAAACTAATGCACCTACCCAAAGAACCACGGGTCTTCATAAAATATGCTGGAGCTCCCAAATAAGCAGAGGCTGAGAGAATAATTAGATCTTTTGCTCACTGCCATTGAAGGGTACTGTGGGCTTTGGCCTTAGATAGACTTGCATTCAAATTATAGCCCTGCCTGTAAGCTTGGACAAGTCTCTGTGTATCACTCTCCTCGTCTGTAAAATGAGGGAAATAATCCCTTCCCTACATACACCAGTCTTCTGTGAATATTAAAACATAAAATTTCTAAAGTGGCACTTGGCACACATAAATTTTTCGTAGATGTTATTTTCCTTTTTTTGGTATATAATTTCTTAGAAGGGCCAGGTGCAGTGGCGCACACCTGCAATCCCAACTACTTGGGAGGCTGAGGCAGGAGAATTGCTTGAACCAGGGAGGTGGAGGTTGCAGTGAGCCAAGATTGCACCACCGCACTCCAGCCTAAGTGACAAGAGTGAAACTTCGTCTCAAAAAAAAAAAAAAATCTCTTAGAAGCATGTTAATTGGTGGACTCATTGTTCACATGAGAAATTGTTAACCAAATTAGAACTATTTAGCCTAGAGAAGACTGATGTTAGAGCTTTTAATGCCACAGTGGTACAAACCTAGGAATTCTTATTTTATGTATTTTAGGGCCTAAGGACCAGAGCACTGAGCATAAAAATGCCAGATTTGCTTTCTAAGTCTCCAAAACGTAATGCCACTTATTTTGGCTTCATTCCTTCAGCTTTTTCTTTATATAATGAGTCAGTTGAGATTTCTTTTGTGACCACTCAAACTACACTTTCCCATTTTATCTTATTATCACAGCATGTGTCTGGAATTTTTGTTTGTTTTAAAAAATACAGTATTTCCCAAGGACAAGCTGTCAGTCACCTTCCTCATGCAGTACACTTTTTAATCCAGTTAAAGCTGTCTAGGATTTATCTGTGAGATGATTGCTTCTATTCTCAATCCTTACCAATACATTATTAATTCAATGTCTTTAAATTATAGCAGGTGAGACTACCATTAGATATTGCAGGGTCTCTGAGACGGACTTTAAAATCTGGAATAGTTTTCCAGAACATCATCTAATCTACATCCTATAGGTCTTTAACAATAGATGGCTGGCCAGGCGTGATGGCTCATGCCTGTAATTCTAGCCCTTTGGGAGGCTGAGGTGGGTGGATCACCTGAGGTTAGGAGTTCGAGACCAGCCTGGCCAACATGGCAAAACCCTACTTTTACTAAAAGTACAAAAATTAGCTGGGCATGGTGGTGGGCAGCTATAATCTCAGCTACTCAGGAGGCTGAGGCAGGAGAATTGCTTGAATCCAGGGGGCAGAGGTTGCAGTGAGCCAAGATTACACCACTGCACTCCAGCCTGGGTGAAAGGGCGAAACTCTCTAAAATTAATAATAACAATAGATGACCAGTCTTTTCTGAATGACCTACATTAGTATCTTATTTAAAAGAAACATGTAGGTTGAGCACAGTGTCTCATGCCTGTAATCCCAGTCCTCTGGGAGGCTGAAGCAGGAGGATAGTTTGAGGCTAGGAGTTTGAGACCAGCCTGAGCAACAGAGCAAGACCCTGTTTCTACTATTTTATTTTTCACGTTAAAAAAAATTTTTTGAGACAGAGTCTCGTTCTGTCACCCAGGCTAGAGTGCAATGGTGCGATCCTAGCTCACTGCGGCCTTGAACTCCACATGTGGCTTTCGTGTGTGTATGTGTAGAGACGGGGTCTCACCATGTTGACCAGGCTGGTCTCAAACTCCTGGGCTCAAGCAATCCTCCCACTTTAGCCTCCCAGAGTGCTGGGATTACAGGTGTAAGCCATGGCACCCGGCATCTGACTCTACAAAAAATTTAAAAATTAGCCAGCTGTGGTGGTTCATGCCTGTAGTCCTAGCTGCTCAGGAGACTGAGGCACATGATCGCTTGAGCCCAGGAGTGTGAGCTTACCATGAGCCATGATTGTACCACTGCACTCCAGTCTGGATGACAGAGCTAGACCTTGTCTATAAAAACAAACAAACAAACAAAAAACCACAGTCAGACACAGTGGCTCACACCTGTAATCCCAAACCTTTGGGAGGCCAAGGCAGGCAGATCACTTATGGTCAGAAGTTCAAGATCAGCCTGACCAACATGGCGAAACCCTGTCTCTACTAAAAACATGAAAATTAGCTGGGTGTGGTGGTGGATGCCTGTAATCCCAGCTACTCAGGAGACTG